CTAGTTTGATGAAATGAAAGATATCATTAATCCATGAAGAATGAGCCGGAGGTGTAGACGATTTCCAATTTATTAAAATTAGGCGTCTTGCCAGAAGAGTGACAAAAGCTACAAAATCAGTCTTATATTTGGGCATGTCAAGTGAAAGAGAGAGAGTACCAAACAAAGCTGTAACGGGCAAAGGTTTAACATAAGTTCCAAGAACTTCAGATAATGTTTTAAAGATCAGAGACCAATATTTGTGAAGAGATGGACAAGACAAAAACATATGCGCAGTAGATGCAGGGGCTTGATGACAGCGATCACACAGAGAGTCTAACTTTGGTCCAGTGGGTGCGATGAAGGATTTTACACTGCATCAGACCCTGTCTGGCGCAGAAAGATGAGGAGTGTACACAATGTAAAATCTTTACCCATTGTTCTTCTGGAATATTTTCTCGTCCTCCTCCCACTGAGATTTAATAGAAGCAAGTGAACTTCCATGCAAGGAGCATATTGCTTCATAAAAATGAGAAATCATATATACCCTTCATTACATGAATAGGTTTGAGGAAGGAGTCAATGGGATTGGTACACCAAAAAATATTATCGTTAAAACTACACTGAGAATCTGGAGGCAATTTAGACACCACTTTGGTTTACAAACCTCCTCTATTTCTGCACCTATAGCAGCACTTTTTTTTTTTTTTACCATCATTATTGGATAGGACTTTCTCCCAGTGGTCGGCATTGGGTATTACAACAGTCAAGGATTTTTATATAGATAATGTATTCGCGTCTTTCCAGCAATTACGGGAGAAATGTGCATTGCCCAAACACAATTTTTTCAGATATTTGCAGGTTCGCAGTTTTGTTCGGGACATGCACCCTCAGTTTCCTTGACTCCCTATGGGAGAAGATGAACATTTAATGGAAGCATGTACTAAGGCTGCTAGCGACGTAGGCATACATGAGGAAGCTTCCATGGTAAGCCATACAGATGAGTCATGAGAAAAATCTTGATTTAACCAGTATTGCATGACCCTAAGATTTGTGGCCCAGTAATGAGTAAACATAACTTGACGATACTTTGCATTTTGTTTCTAACAAGACTCAGTTGGCACCATGACCCAGGTCTTCTTAGTTTATTCTCAGCAGTGCTCATACTTCATTGCTTCAGGATCAGAAAACAGGCGTCACTCTCTATTCAAGGAGCCGCAGGCGGCCACATGAAAACCCTCTTTGAATAACTCCTGAACAGTGTTGGGGGTAACGAGTTACAAAGTAACGGATTACAGTAACGATATTACTTTTTTGGGTAACGAAGTAAAGTAACGCATTACACTAAAAATATCGGTAACTACACTACTTTACTATACTATAGGAACGCGCTTTCCTGCGTTACCCAAGCCGTGTTTGCTTGTGTGTAAAGTTCTGTCTAGTGGTGCGTGCGCACCGTTGCCATAGAGATCGATTTGAGTGACATAGCTGCCGGTGCGAAGGAGAGAGGGAAATGGAGACGGAGACGGAGACAGGGGGTCTCTGCAGCGCGAGTCTCCGCTGACTGCACGCGCACCTCCCCAAACGGACGAGGCGTTTATACTCGACGCGCTCGCCATTGTACTATTCTGTGAAACGACGGGGCGACTCGAGTAATTGTCCTCTTAACCATCAGGAATCAACGGTGAGAAGAAGAAAGGTCCACACGTGACGATGTTTATTTTAGTAGGCTACATCACCACCAATAACACTACAAAAAGAATCGTGTACGTAAAATCCAGTAAACCCTGAGATTATTACTTGTGACATTAGAACAAAATGTGGATATAAAAACATGTATGTAGACTATAGAACTAAATCAACGATCTCTTAAATGGTTTCTAATTTCACTAAACATTTCATTAAGTTTCGTGGACATTTGATAAAACATGGATCTTTCTATTAAAAATGCTTATTATGCTATTGTAGGCTCATTTTGTAAACATAAGCAACTGATTTAGACACGCAAACTGTGTGCCGATGCGGTCACGGTGAGACGTAGGCTACATGCTCGGGCAGATTCGGCTTCTTGAAGTCGTTCATCCTCGGATTCGGCGCCGCGCACGCTGTTACAAAAACTCTTCTCAAGTCTTGGAGCACAGCAGGTAACACAAAACAAAATGAACAGGCTTGTTGCAGGGTTCATTGTAGAGGAATGCTTCCCCTGCCGACTATTGAATCGCCAAGAAAAATGCATTTTAAATTAAGATCAAAAATGTAAAAGTGACCTTTATTTTATTATTTTTCATTGACCACTTCATTTTTTATTTTTATTGCCATGAGTCGAATAAAAAGCTTGTTTTGTTCTCAGGAGAAGAGTTTATTCTCATGTTTCCCAAAGCCTGTGTTTTAAAACTTGTGTGTTGACCCCATTTTAAAATGACCGCACCATAGCCTCCTTTATCCTGTTGTTTGTGGATTTTACAGTGAGATATATTTCCTTGTGCAGACAGGGATATTGTTCTTTCATATGGTTTTACATGCCATTTTGTATATATTTATACAATAAACATTATGTAGACAGGCAAAGTGATGATAGGGCTATGATATTTGTCCATAAATTAAGAAACGGGAAAGTAAAGTAATAAGTAGTGAAGTTACTTTTCAAACGCAGTAACTAGTAAAGTAATCTCATTACAATTTACAGAAGTAACTAGTAACTAGTAACTAATTACCTTTTTTGAGTAACTACCCCAACACTGCTCCTGAAGCACATCACATGCAAAAAAAAAAAAAACACACAAGTATGTGTTTTGTTTCCAAAAAGTTGCCCTTTCTCAAACACTTTTTGAATGAATTAGGTTAAAGAAAAAGAAAAAAGTTTTCAGGGAAAGTTTAAACTAGGTTGCAAGCTGTATGGCCTTTAGTGACTCACATGAGCTGGTTTTATTGGATTGACATTTAATATAGGAAGAACAATGTGCTCCCTCATATTTTTGAGCTTACAAAAGAAAAAAAATACAGAAGTTGCATGATTATTGAAAAAAGGGTCTGTCTAACCAAGTCAGCTTTCACGTAATGCTGTCATTACCATACAAAAGGAGATTATCAAGATGGCAATTTAGATTTTCATTTTGACTATTGTTTATTATTATTTCAGTTTAAAATACATCAGGTCAGATTAGGTCCCCATGCATGCTACATAAAAGTTGTAGCACTAGACTACTGAAAATAATAATAATAATTATTTTGGGGTCATGTTTTATCTCGCCTATAAGACACCAAGTCAGGAATGTCACACAAAAAAGTGCATGACGCCCATGTGAAGGACATACTATAAATCGTTTTGGTTCAATTTATGTGTAACTTTACAACATCTCAAATATCAATAATGTATGTCTGCAAATAATTACTTCCCGCAACACATTAATGCGCATTGGTGATACCATAGCACAGGCACTGTGTATATTATATTTAAATACCAATATATATCGTACGCCATTTCTACAGCTCAAACCCTTCAGGGAAAGACAAAGACCTCAGTCATAACTTACAGTCAGGGATTGAGTGAAATAAGTCACTTTCTATTCCTTCTCTCTCTATTCTCATGCACAGATGTTCCTGCACTTTCTCATATACTGAGGTAACCGTGTTTCTGCAGAAACAGCATCTGAACATTCAGTTCTTTAGTAGTAGATGGAGATGACAACATGTCTAAGACAGCATATCGCAGACAAAGCACTAGACATCTGCTAGCATAGAAACAGGCTTTAAAAGGACAACTTTACCAGTGAAGTGATGTTTTTATATGAAACGTAAAATGAGGTAGCAAGTTAGATATTCCATAGCCTCTGATGCCAATGTGAACACTTCATACACAGAATAAGCAACAAAATGGGAATGATTTTGGGAATGGGAAAGATGTATTATGTTTATTACTCAAAAAGTGCCTTGAGTGTCCATAGTGAACTTTTGAAAAATCTGGAAAGTGAATAATTTACCCCACTAAAATTGTGCCCAAAAACCGAAATTTTTTAAGTTCTCACATTATACAATACCTTTCAAAACTTCTGTTTGTCAGGGAATTGTAAAGTATCACGATTTTCACAAAAATATTAAGCAGCACAGCTGTTTTCAGCATTGATAACAATAAGATATGTTTCTTAAATCAGAATATTAGAATGATTTCTGAAGGATCATGTGACACTGAAGACTGGAGTAATGATGCTATAAATTCAGCTTTGCCATTGCATGATAAAATTACATTTCAAAATATATTTGAATAGAAAAAAGTTATTTAAAATTGTAATATTTCGCAATATTACTATTTTTACTGCATTTTTGATCAACAAATGCAGACTTGGTGAGCATAAGAGACTCAAAAACATCAAATTCTTACCAACCTCAAACTTTTGTGTATGTGAAAGCATGTGCAGATTTTTCTCCTTGCTTGAACACAAATCATAGCAGTTGTACTCATTTTAGCAACATGTCTAATGCTCAAGCACTAGGAGAAAAATTTGCATTACATTCATCTGCTTGGAAGGCCATTAACAGAAAAAGCAGAAGTCATTACATTCTCAAGTTATTAAATTTTATTTGTGCTGCTCCAAAGAGTCATTGAGTAGTAACCATACAGTAAATTCTCTTCAGAATGTTCATAAAATTCTTACAGTATGTTAATTTATCCAAATGTCATAAACAGGAGAAATGTATCCAGAACATCGACCAGCATCCTGTTCCTCCGCTCAAACAGCAGATATCACTCACATGAACATGTTTCATCATGCACTACCTTCAAAAAATCCCAAATGGCTGCAATGTTTCAGTTTTACAAGCGCAGCTGTACATGCTCAAATCATAATATATCGGAGTTATCAAACAGATCTTTGTACTTCAACACAGCCAGGAGTTATACAAGAAGAACGCCCACTCGACACGCTCGTTATTATGTTGAGATATGACACATAAAAACGACATCTCCATGGGATTCACTCACAAACACGGCCTAAACTTCCCACCCCGTCCCAGCATGACCCTACCGTCATCATCAAAGACGTCCTCTGCCTCCTCACGCACCAGTTCTTTTATGTTATCCTCCGTGATGTCAGAAAAGGCCATTCCGTCTTATCCTCTCTTGCTCTTCTCTTTTGCTTAAGCGTCTGAGCAGCAACTATACTGTAAAATTAAATCAACGTTCGGACTGTCTTCCCCCCGGGCGAATGTAAAGCCCACTGTCAGCTTGAGCCTGAGCAGAGAGGCGAGAGGCAGTGGACCGCTCTGAGCTTCTACTCACTGCACCAAGTCGAGTGTGAGTGTGTGTGGGAGCCCACACCATCATGGCCAAGTTTCATCAACAGGATGATTTCATAATCTCCTGTATGACTGTCAGAATGAGGGAGATATTGGGTGTGGTAAATATGCCAATGGTGTTTCGAGTGGTGGTCAGGATGAAGGGAGAGCCCAAGCATGGTGATGTAGGCGATAAATTGCATAAAATGTAACACAGGGTTGTGTTCACAGGTTTCAGCCTCACAATACAGCCATTAAAGGTCAAGAAAAAGTTGACCTTTTTTTGAAAAGGATCATTTTATTCAACCTTTAGATAACATCTAAAAGAATGTGCATGTGTTTTTTTTTTATATATTTGATATATTATGAACATATTTGATACATCAGGCATTTATGGTCTAGTATGATATAGGAAAATATGGAGCTTATACTCAATTAGAAAAAAAAAGAGAGAAACACCTCAATTTTATTCAGAGGCCCTAACTGAGCAAAAATATGCAATTTGGTGCAGCTGCTGATATTGCTAGCCAAAAAGTAAGATGAAATTCTGATAGCTTGTAAATCAATAAGATCTTAATAACAGTATAGCAGACTTACAGTACATAATCTGCATATAAATATCAGTTGTCACTTTATATTTCACAATAATATGTCTCAGTAAGATGATATTTAAATGCTTGCTTGGTTTTAAAAAAACTTTTAAAAAAGAAAGCTCTGTAGTTTTTTTTATTGTGGGGTGCAAAACATAATGTAACGCAATGGATAATCAAGTAAGTTCATCTTGAAATATTACTTACCATATAAAAGTTATTCTTACGTTTAATTTATAAAAATCATTAAAGATTTCACAGGCTTTATAGGGTAACAGTGCATAAGGTGAATCACCTTATTTAGTAACAATAATTAATTTACAGTAATTTAGTAAAAGACTTCTAACTGCACAATTTGGAGAGTGTTGGAAAGATCATGTTCTTCATATCTAAAGTCTTTCTGAAATAGTAACTAGGCTGCAGTGAATTTAAGTCTTTCTCTTTAATTTTTGCGTGCCTCCTATGAAAGCTCTGTGGAATAGACCTAATGACAATCTCATTAACAGAGGGGTCAGCTCACACACTCAGTCGTATAACAGCAATTATTCACTTCTGGACTCTTTTTAAAAACATGTCCTATATAGGGGAACCAAAATAGATCCACCCACACTTGTCACGTTTCCAGGAAACATTTTGATGTGATTGCTCCATCCTTTAACATTTAGTGGTGTTTGCTTAAGCAAGAAACACTATTATTATTGCTTAAACGTATAGAGTGTGGGATTTAAACAGTATTACACTGCTACATGTAACTCATCTAGAACAGTTTATGGACATGAAAGATACCTCAAAACATGCTTTTCCAAACAACCAGACTTATGATTCCCCAGCTAACAAGGTTCTGTCAAGGTTCTCTCAAAATTATGGACAAATTTTCATCCAGCAACGTTAACAGAATGTTTGTTTAGAGTTATCTGGTCTTTTAATAATGTTCTTAAAACGTTAGCACAAAAATGTTCATGGAACATTTTATTTCTGAAATGTTTTAGTTGGACATTCTTCTAACGTTTTTTAAATGTTACTCCTTGTTTCAGAACATTCACAAAACATTCAAAAGTAACGTTTCCACGATGTTTGCAAAATGATAAAATGGAATGTTTCCTTAACATTCGCATAACCAATTTTTTTTTTTTAAACTAGACGTTTATCTGTCACGGTGGGTTGCAGGAAGGCAGGCGATGAAGACGATCATTTCAAATACAAAGTTTTAATATGAAGACAGGCAAACAGGTTGAGCAACACACACTTAACATAACGGTGATCAGACAGAGAATGGATGTAAGGGACCAACTTATAGGGCAAACACAAATGAGGATGATTTATCAAACACAGCTGAACCAAATGAACTCATAATGACGGTGACCATGGTAACAAAGGAGTGGCGGGAAAACTGAACAAAGGAAAACATGTGACTAATGAAAACAAACTGTGACATAATGCCCCCTCCGAGTAGGCGTGACCTCGCGCCGTAAGAAGAACATAAACAGATGAGGGAGGAGGTTTTGGAGGCGGGCGAGGAGCCCCTGGCGGTGATGGTGGAGATGGTCCGCAAGCACAGACCCAGAGCTCCCCAGTGCCAACAGACCACGGCGGTGTCGAGAGAGGGATGGTGACGAGGCTGACGACAACTGGGGGACGACCAAAGGAGACAGAGCCGGTGGATCTGCAGGCGCAGACCGAGGGTTGAGGGAGATGAGCGACATCGCTGGTGCAGGAGACCCAGGCGATGTCACGGCAACGAGCATCGTAGGTTGAGCCAGAGTACCCATGCAAGGACTGGGGCGACGACGGTGTGAGTGAGGACAGAGGTGATGCCGATGGGAAGGAATCTGCTGCCGCTGAAGGTGTGGAGGGACGGAGCGCAGTGGATGGCCCGAAAGTCCATGGCGGAAGTTGTGAGACGACTGTCAAAGGGGGAGCCTGTGGGACGAGGGAATCCGGAGGAGCCACTAGACTGAGGGTCTCTGGTGGAGCCGAAGGTGGGAGGAGCCAAGACCTAGCCGACAGGTCGACGGGCCGAGATGGAGCGAAGAGATCCGAGGCCAGAGGCAGAGCCGAAGGATCCTAATGGATGGGCGCTGCTGGTGGTTGCTCGACCTGCGGCTCAACGTCAATGCAGGGACCCCCCAGAGACGGTGCAGGGCTGCAAGCATCTGCAGGACTGGCTGAGCTCTGTGGTGGTGGTGATGAAACGAGACTTGAGATGACAAAGGCAATCATGACACAGTTCACACAGGATAGAGCAAAAAAAATTCCTAGTTCTCAATGTTCTCTTTGAGTAATATAGATGATTCAGATAGCGGGTGGGATAGGGTGGGAGTTGACAATACCCCATCGAAGTCTATCAGAAGGTTCCCTCGGCCGCTGGTATCTGGGGCTCACACCCCTGGTCAGATCCACGCTGGGGCACTGCTTCCGGGGCGATGGCAAACTCTGTCCTCTTATCCTCGGGCTCTGGCTCGCTCGTCGCGGCGGGTGTAACATTGGCAGGCGATAGCCTATGACGACACTACCGGTGCGACCAGAGTATAAAAGGTCGCCTTTAGTACATGTCAACAATTTCTTTTGTCTTCTGGGTCCTTTTGTTTATGTGTGAAGATCACTCAGCCAAGCGTTTCAGGAAGTACTGTATGTGCCTCCGTATCAGAGATGACTTGAGGACACACGACTTATGCATTATGTGTTTGATTAAGGAGCATGCATGTTCAGCTCTTCAGTTTATGACAGTTCTACGCGTGATTCTTGATTAGTGATAGAGTCTGGTGTTTGAGTGGAGCACGTTCAGCTCTTGAGGGACTTGAACACGCTCTTTATAATGCGGTCTTTGTGATAAGCTCTTTTGTTGGCAATTCTCTCGAGAGGGATGAGAATAGTGCGCCTGCACCCTGCAGTTCATGCCCCGTGGTCGCCATAGCGGCAGGCAGGTTCGATCACGGAGGTGAGTCTTATGAGATTTCTTTCCCTTTCCAGTATGCTGTTACTATAGCCTGGCAAGCCAGACCTACATCAAGATGTTAGGTCTGGGAACTCCCAATTGGCATACCTCAATCCGAGGGGCATGATAAACGGTTGTCTTTCAAATTCCCTCTGCATGCAATAGGACAGTGCTACAACTAACCAGAGCAACGAACGGTTGTGGCTGAGTGAGTCCTGTGCGTTTTTCCACCAGCGGAGCTAGTTGATATATTAAACTTTTGCCGTATCCGGTCGTCAAAACTCCGTACACATCTTCCTTTTTTAAGAATGACTTAAGTGACGTTCTCTTAACTCCAAATCATCCAGAGTCGCGGCCAAAGCCGATTCGAAAGACCGCTGTTCGCCAGCAGCATCTTCTTTGTTTTCAAGTAGCAGGGAATTCAAATCACCTATGGAAATCACGCGGGGGAACCGTCAAAACTCTGCCGTCATTATGTTAAGCCCGCCCACCAACTCTATACACGATGTGATTGGCCTGACCAGAGTTTGGTTTTTCCAGCTCGAATGCCAACGGAGAGTTGCTAGACCACACTTTGCTGCAAAATACTTTTTACTGCCGCTAGGGTGCGTCTAGATTTCTAGGCTACTGTTACTAATGTGTGAGGCTTAATTATGTGGAATTAGATGCAGAGAGAGTGCAGGCAGGTGTTATCTTTAGATCTGCCTCCTCCGCTGGCCCGCACAATAGCAGTGCTCGATGATGCAATCTCTGGAACCCGACAGAATGCTTTTTTTTTCGCCCTAGTATGCGAACCCTTCCTAACTATAGTTGTAGGCACCTTCATGAGTGCTGAAGTCCGTTTTTCCTCAGGTTTGACTGAAGAGCAGAACCCTCCCCTGAGTCGGGTCTTGAAACAGGGTCCTCCAGTCCCTTGGACGAGCTCTTTCGATCTCGAGAACCTAACAGGAAGTGGGTTTTTGCCCTAGTTTGCAAAACCTTCTTTGTCGTAAATCGCCTTCAAAAGTGTCTGGAGTTTTGAGATTCTACGAAGACATTTGTTGCCCTCAGCTGGCTCCCCTTGATGTCTTCATGGTTGAGTGCAAGTGGAATCCTTAATAGTAGGGTTCCCGACTCTCTATAAGAGAGCTCAGTTTGTTGCTGGAGTCTCAGTTGATGCGTAGACCCCATGTACTTTCTTGTGATCTGCTGACCAAGGAAGGATTTAAGCTCTTCTGGTCTCTAGTTTTCAACAGGAAATTGTCTGTTAGTGTAGAACGTACTGTAGTTAAGATTCCTCTTGCTTTAAAGAGTTGTTTTGCTGAGGCCTCCATTTTTAGAGCTTGGTCAGGGTGGTTACGCCGGGTCGTCTGGCTCTCTATGAGCCTCCTTGACGGAACAAACCTTAGGTAAGCGTTGTTAGGTTTCTTCTTGATTTATTGAGTCATTATGTTGAGACCTCCGCTTCCCAGAGTTCTGCATAAGAAAACATGTCCAAGTTGTGTATCTCT